GATATTGCATATTTTTCAGTTGTTTAGTATTATACAATGATAATAAAACTATACTAATAAATAATAATAATCAACTTTATTTGTACCCCACCACCATCTCCCCAAAGGGGACCGGGCGGGGGGGGGGGGAATATGAGGCCAACCCCAAAATTACAGTACAGCAAAATAAAATACAAAGAAGCAGAAAATACCATCAAAATAAATACATGAAATAACAAAATAAAATAAACAATTACAAAATAACAGGATAAATAGAACACAGTGGGCGGACCAAATGCACTAAGATAAAATTGATAAAACCCTGGATGAGACAAGTGGTGGGAGGATGTGTTTCTGAGGGAGGAGGTCAAAACGAACGAACAATGGGGTTAGACCATCATTAAGGGCGGGGGGAAAGTGCATCATGAGGATGGAACTGTAGTTGGAACAGACAAAATATGGAATATATGTTCACTTGCCAAAGGCACATTGGAAGAGCCAATTTTTTAGGTCTTTCTTAAAAGCTGCCAGGGTAGGGGCTTGCCTGATCTCGTTAGGCAGCGAGTTCCAAAGCCAAGGGGCCATAGCAGAGAAGGCTCTCCTTCGTCCCCACAAGTTGTACCTGTGATGAAGGTGGGAGTGAAAGGAGGGCCTCCCCAGAGGATCATGCAGGTTTATGGAAGGAGATGCGATCATGAAGTTAGGCAGGTCCCAAACGGTTCAGGGCTTTGTAGGTGATAACCTGCACCTGGAATTCGGACCAGAAGATGAACGGCAACCAATGGAGCTCCTGAAACAGGGGGGTAGACTGCTCCCTGTAATTCCAGTTAGCTGTCTGGCTGTCTAACATTGGACCAACTGAAGTTTCTGGGCCGTCTTCAAGGGTAGCCCCACATAGAGTGCATTGCAATAGTCCAATTTAGAAGTAACTAAGGCGTGGACCACCGTGGTCAGATGAGACTTCACAAGGAATTCTATACTAGGAATTCTTTCCATTTTGATCATCATAATAACTGCATTGAACTGCCTGATATGGTCAGTGTAGATTGATACAATTCTGTTGAAATGCATTGAACTGGATGGTTTTGTCAGTGTGGACAAGGGGAGTGTGTCTCTGTTTGTTCTGCTGGAACTCTCAGCGGCCTTCGATACTGTTGACCATGGTATCCTTCTGGGACACCTCGCAAAAATGGAACTTGGAGGTACTGCTCTCCAGTGACTCCAGTCCATCCTGGAGGGATGGCCCCAGAAGGTGTTACAACCTTCAGAAATGGGGCTACAAAGTGGAATCCTCGACATGCGAGTGCGGAGAGGAGCAAACCACTGACCACCTGCTGCAATGCAACCTGAGCCCAGCCACATGCACAATGGAGGACCTTCTTGCAGCAACACCAGAAGCACTCCAAGTGGCCAGATACTGGTCAAAGGACATTTAATCAACTACCAAACTCACACACTTTGTATTTTCTCTGTTTGTTTGCTCTGTTCTGTTAGAAATGTAATATAATTGACTGGTTGCCTTGACACGAGAAAGACCTGTTTGACTCCAAAACCGTTGTCTTGTGGAGTCCCTCAGGGTTCAGTATTGTCCCCGATGTTGTTTAACATCTACATGAAGCCGCTGGGGGAGATCATCTGGAGTTTCGGAGTACGATGTTATCTGTATGCAGATGATGTCTAAATCTGTCACTCCTTCCCACCCGTAACTAAGGAGGCTGTTCAGACCTTGAACCGGTGCTTGACCGCTGTGTCGGACTGGATGAGGGCTAACAAACTGAAATTGAATCCAGACAAGACAGATGTCCTCCTAGTCAGTCGAAAGGCCGAACAGGGCATAGGGTTACAGCCTGTGTTGGATGGGGTTACACTCCCCCTGAAGACGCAGGTTCGCAGCTTGGGAGTGATCCTGGATTCATTGCTGAGCCTAGAACCCCAGGTTTCAGCGGTGGCCAGGGGAGCTTTTGCACAGTTAAAGCTTGTGCGCCAGCTGCGCCCATACCTTGAGAAGTCTGAACTGGCAACAGTGGTCCATGCTCTTGTTACATCCCAAATAGATTACTGCAATGCACTCTACGTGGGGCTGCCTTTGAAGACTGTTTGGAAACTTCAATTGGTCCAATGGGCTGCAGCCAGATTATTAACTGGAGCGACATACAGGGAGCACACCATCCCCTTGTTGTGTCAGCTCCACTGGCTGCCGATCTACTTCTGAACTCAATTCAAAATGCTGGGTTTGACCTATAAAGCTTTATACCAGTGTTTCTCAACCTGGGGGTCGGGACCCCTGGGGGGGGTCGTGAGGGGTTGTCAGAGGGGTCGCCAAAGACCATCAGAAAACACAGTGTGGGAAGTTTGGTCTAATTGTGTCATTGGTGAGGTTCAGAATGCTCTTTGATTGTAGGTGAACTATAAATTCCAGCAACTACAACTCCCAAATGTCAAGGTCTATTTTCCCCAAACCCCACCAGTGTTCACATTTGGGCATATTGATTATTTGTGCCAAGTTTGGTCCAGATACATCATTGTTTGAGTTCACAGTGCTCTTTAGATGTAGGTGAACTACAGCTCCCAAACTCAAGGTCAATGCCCACCAAACCCTTCCAGTATTTTCTGTTGTTCATAAGAGTTGTGTGTGCCAAGTCTGGTTCAATTCCATCGTTGGTGGAGTTCAGAATGCTCTTTTAATTTAAATGTACCATAAATCCCAGCAACTACAACTCCCAAATGACAAAATCAATCCCCCCAACCAACCAGTATTCAAATTTAGGCATATTGAGTATTTGTGCCAAATTTGGTCCAGTTAATGAAAATACATTCTACATATCAGATATTTAAATGACGATTCATAACATTAGCAAAATTACAGTTATGAAGTCTCAACAAAAATAATGTTGTGGTTGGGGGTCACCACAACATGAGGAACTGCATTAAGGCGTCGCAGCATTAGGAAGGTTGAGAACCTCTGCTCTATATGGTTCTCGCCCAGCTTACTTGTCCGAACGCATCTCCCACTACGTCCCGCCTTGCAGTTTATGATCATCCGGGCCATGCCCGTAGCCAGGATTTTGATTCGGGGGGTGCCAAGTTTGATTCGGGGGGGGGGGAGCTGAGGATCTACCCTAGCAAACCTTTTGTATCGTTACCCCAATACCCCCATGCATATGGGATATATTGAGCATGGTGATCAGATCATGATATGAATAAACATAACAGTTTAAATAATGTACCAGTAAGGCCTTCTCGCAGACCACCATGAGAATTTTTTTTGGGGGGGAGGGGGGCTGAAGCTCCTCAAGCCCACCCACCTTACAGTTTAAGATCATCCGGGGAGACCCTGCTCTCGCTCCCACCAGCATCACAAATACATCTGGCAGGGACGAGAGACAAGGCCTTCTCAGCAGTAGCCCCCCTCCTGTGGAACTTGTTTCCCAACGAGGTAAGATCGGCTTCATCCTTCCTGTCTTTTAGGAAGAAATTGAAGTTGTGGTTCTGGAACTAGACTTTTAGACAGAAGACATAAATCGCACTTTGGATATGGAATTTGACTGGAATGGTGATACGGCGGTTAATACTGTTTTTGTTGTTTTAATTATCGAAGGCTTTCATGGTCGGAATCACTGGGTTCTTGTAGGTTTTTTCGGGCTATATGGCCATGTTCTAGAGGCATTTCTCCTGACGTTTCGCCTGCATCTATGGCAAGCATCCTCAGAGGTAGTGAGGTCTGTTGGAAGTAGGAAAAATGGGTTTATATATCTGTGGAATGACCAGGGTGAGACAAAGGACTTTTGTCTGCTGGGGCTAGCTGTGAATGTTTCAGCTGATCATCTTGATTTGCATTCAATGGCTTGGACGTGCCTGGGGGGAATCTTTTGTTGAGAGTGATTTTATGTGCCTTGCCATACATCAAGGGAACCACTGACCACATAGGGAAACTGATGAGGAAACACAACATACAAACCACTTACAGACCCACCAAGAAAATCCAACAAATGCTACGTTCAGCAAAGGACAAGAGGGATCCTCTCACCTCTGCAGGAGTCTACCGTGTACCATGCAGCTGTGGACAAGTCTACATAGGGACCACCAAACGCAGCGCCCAGACACGCATCAAGGAACATGAAAGGCACTGCAAACTACTTCAACCAGAGAAGTCAGCCATAGCAGAGCACCTGATGAACCAACCTGGACACAGTGTATTATTTGAGAACACAGAAGTGCTGGACCACTCTCACAACCATCATGTCAGGCTACACAGAGAAGCCATTTAAATACACAAGCATGTGGACAAATTCAACAGAAAGGAAGAAACCATGAAAATGAACAAAATCTGGCTACCAGTATTAAAAAACTAAAAAATTAGAACAGCAAAACAACAGAGAGGAAACAAACAGGCACATAAAATCACTCTCAACAAAAGATTCCCCCCAGGCACGTCCAAGCCATTGAATGCAAGTCAAGGTGATGAGCTGAAACATTCACAGCTAGCCCCAGCAGACAAAAGTCATTTGTCTCACCCTGGTCATTCCACAGATATATAAAGCCATTTTTCCTACTTCCAACAGACCTCACTACCTCTGAGGATGCTTGCCACAGATGCAGGCGAAACGTCAAGAGAAAAATTGCCTCCAGAACGTGGCCATATAGCCCGGAAAAACCTACAACAACCCACTGTTTTTATTGTTTTAATTAATGTTCTATTTATTATTTTAATTGTTATATTTAATGGCATCAAATTGTGCCAAATGTAAGCCATCCTGAGTCCCCCTTTGGTTTTTGAGAAGGACGGGGTAGAAATGCTGGAAATAAATCAATCAAAGAAGTGTAAGTCTATTGAATGGCATGCTTTGAGTCTCCACTGGCTGCAGAATGCAGTTTCCAACAGCAGGACAGGCAGTGAAGGCCCAGGCTTGGAAAGCCAAGGGTGCTTCCGAGAAGAGCCTGTGGGAAATGCGTGCCTGTGTGCTAAGCCTCCTCTGCGCATGCGCGACCGCAGTCCTGGGCGCATGCGCGCGTGGCCTGAGGGGGCGCTCTCCCCCTCCCTCCCGACTGAGGGGTGTGTGCAGATGTGGTCCATTCCGGCCGGCGGCGCGCGGCGAGTGGCTCTCCCTCCTCCCCTTTAAGGGCCTTCGCCTTGGATTTTTTGCCCTCCGTCCGGCAGGCTCTGAGGGGGCCGTTGAGGTGATCCGGGGGCGGCGTTGGGACGGCGGCGAGGATGTCCGGAGGCTGGGGCCGGGAGATGATGGACTACGGAGGCGGGGGAGGAGGCCCCGGGGTGTCCGGCGGAGGCCGCGGAGGCGGCGGGATGGGAAACGGCGACGGGCGCATTTACGTGGGCAACCTTCCGGCCGACGTGCGCGAGAAGGACCTGGAGGAGCTCTTCTACAAGTACGGCCGCATCCGGGACATCGAGCTCAAGAGCAAGCGCGGCCTAGTGCCCTTCGCCTTCGTGCGCTTCGAGGACCCGCGGTGGGTGAGGCGGGGGGAGGGCCAGGCCAGGCGAGGCGAGGGAGGCGGGCACGGGGTCTCCGCGCCGGCCGCGCAAGGGCTCTTCCCTGGCGCCAGGCTTTGTAGGCCGCGCCGTCCTTTCCCGCCCTTTTTCCTGAGGGCTTCTCCAGGCCTCAGGAGCCTCTGCTAGGCCCAGGCGCACCCCGGGCGAATTCGGCTCCATTGCCTCACGTTTTCCCGCCCTTGGAGTGGACTTCCGGGCTCTCCCTGGGGCGGAAACGAGGAGGAAGCCGACCCCCACGTCCCGAAATCCGTTGCAGTCTGAAAGTGCATTGTAGGGTCTGTGTGGACTCATAGAATGCACAGGATTGCATCAGATTAGTCTACTACATTGATTCTATAATGCATAGAACTGCGTTCTATGAGTCAACATTAATAATAATAATAATGGACTCGGATCGGCCTACAGCATCCAAAACTGATACAGTCAATGATATAAGACAGACAGTAATCATACCAATTCATAAAAAGAACATAGCACAATCGTGTAAACATAAATAAATAAACAATTTAAAATAATATAAGGTCCTCTAAAACCAGTGTGGAACGCCATTTAAAACCAGCCATTCCTATGATCAGGGTATCCAGCATTATAAATTATAGTTCTGATAACCATTTAAATTCCTGTCCAATAAGATGGTTGATACTCATAGCCATTATCAAAAGCCTGTTTAAATAGCCAGTTTTACATCTCCTTCCTTAAAGTTATGAGACTGGGGGCCTGCATAATTTCCTTGACCCTATGATGCATGTAAACTGCATCAGATGAGTCCATATTCACCCTATAATGCAAGCATGGGCAAACATAAGCCCTCCAGGTGTTTTGGATTTCAACTCCCACAATTCAAGGCTGTTAGGAATTGTAGGAGTTGAAGTCCAAAACATTTGGAGGGAGGGCCGAAGTTGGTCTACATCTGCTATAATGCATTTAACTGCATCAGATGAGTCAATATTAATAATACACTTTATTTATATTCCGCCCTTCTCCCCTAGGGGACTCAGATTACAGCTTTTACATACACAGGCAAACATTCAGTGTCTTTACAATCATATACAATGAGACACACAAACTCAAACAAAAGCAGATGCATGTAACTGCATCAGATGAGTCTGTATTGACACCATAATGCAGGCAAGTGCAGACTTTGATCCTGCTGTTAGGATTTATGGGAGTTGCGGTCCAAAACACCTGGAGGACCAAAGTTTGCCCATGTCTGCTGTAATGCATGTAACTGCATCAGATGAGTCTATATCGACCCTATGATGCATGTAACTGCATCAGATGAATCTATATCGACCCTATAATGTAGGCATGGACAAACTCTGGCCTTGCTGTTAAGAATTGTGGGAGTTGAAGTCCAAGACACCTGGAGGGCTGAAGTTTGCCCATGCCTGCATAATGCATGTAACTGCGTCAGATGAGTCTATATTGATCCAATAATAATAATATTCAGATCCTGCCCCCTCTCTCCGAAGGGACTCGAGGCAGCTTACAACAAACGAGCAAATATAGTAAATGATATAACAGACAATAATGACATAACAATTAATAAAACAAAATGGTACAATATTGTCAACAAAAATAAATAACCAGTTTAAAAGACAATTTAGCCCTCTAAAAACAGTATATATACAAAACACTGTTTAAAACCAGCCAATTCCTATGAATGCATGTAACGGATGCATGTAACTGCATCAGATGAGCCTATGTTGACCCTATAATGCAATGATGGGCAACCTTTTGAGCTTGGTGTGTCAATACTCGCCAAAAAACCGAGCATAGTTTAATAACAAAAATATATTATTGTAATATATAACTGTATTTAATAAACCAGAAACTAATTATTTAACTTACCTTCTTTTTCTATAATGGCATATATATCAGCATTATAGAAAAATGTTGGTGTAGGAGCCGAAGATGAAATGTCCTTCTTGGGATGCGGCCCCGTCTTCTCTGTATGTGGCCGCATGCGGCTGTGTGTCATCAAAAATGGCTACGCGTGTCAGTGCTGACACACGTGTCATAGGTTCGCCATCATGGCTATAATGCATGCAACTGCATCAGATGAGTCTGTATTGGCCCTATAAATCACATAACTGCATCATATGGCAGTGTAGATGGGGCCTGAGCATTGGTTTATGTGTGGAGCTCCAAGACAGTGACTGTGAGGTAAGGAGGGCTATATCTGCACTGTGGAATTAATCAAGTTGAATCCCACTTCAGCTGCCATCTCAAACTGCATTCATTCTGTGTACATAATGGATGCGGTTTGACCCTGCTCTTTTCCGCTATGACTCAATGCTATGGATTCTTGGAGTTGCCCTTTGGTGAGGTCCCAGCACTCTTGGGCAGAGGAGGAGGGTGATGTAGCACAGAGCCACAGCCCTTCCCTGGCAGTCCTGGGGCCTCGCCAAACTACAACTCCCAGGATAGCACAGCAGTGAACCCTGGACATTCAAGCGGGGCCAAATAGCATTCATTCTGCAGTGCAGAAAGTGACTCTTCACCATGGTTTCCAGTAGTCTAGCAAACTGAAGTTGGGGGGCTTCCAGAATGATGGTGGAATCACCCAACTTCGGTTTGCTAGAGACCACTGGAAGCCATGGTGAAGAGTCACTTTCTGCACTGCAGAATGAATGCTGTTTGGCCCTGCTTGAATGGCCAGGGCCCACTGCTGTGGTGTTTCAGAGATTGCAACCATCTTTGGATACTTTGAAAAGCTAACATGGTTTGTTGGCCTGAGCTTGTATGTGTGCCTGATGAAGTCAAACGTGCAGACACAAGCCATATTGGCTTTGGTTTCCTTGTCACTCTTTATCCCATGCCACTGTGCCACGTGCACAAGTGTTTGGTTGGAGTCGTGTGCCTCCAGGGTGACGTAATGATGATTCTATTCTAGGTTTGCTTGGCCAGATTTGCCAAAGGAGGTTTATTTATTTATTGTTTAGCATATTTGTATCCTGCCCTTCTCATCCCAAAGGGGACTCAGGATTTGGCCCTTCTTTCTTCCCTCCAAGGCTGGGAGAGTGGGACTTTCCTGGGGTCACCCAATGGCTTTCCATGGCAAAACAAGGATTCAAACCCTGGGCTCCGGGAATCCCAGCCCAGCATTCAAAGCTCACAGCAGGCTGCCTTCAATATTAAATAGGATCCCACAGATCTCTGCCTCTAGGAGTTTCCAGGGGAAGCAATAATAATGTCTTCTTTCAAGCCTTCCACTCAACTTGAGTATAGTTTCATCAGGAGAAGAAAAGCGGAAGGACCAGCAAAAGGCTTCCAAGGAAAACTTCTGGCTTTCTCCATCTGCATATGCAACCAAAGTGTGCTCTCTGTATTTATCACTTTGAACCACGTATATATTGCCTTTCATCACGTAATATCTCAAGGCTCTGTACAACATTAATAATACATTATTTGAAAGCCTAAGGAAGTGCCATAAAACAATACAGGCACATAACAGAATAACACGAGGGTCTAAATTTTGATTACAAGACAGAATGGGAGATCATGTCTATGTCTGTACAAAAAGCTTGGTGTTGAAGAGACTATCAATTGGGCCCTGGGCATATCTTTTTAGAATGAGCATTTCAGAGCTAGAAACTTCTCCTTTTTTCTCAAGATGTCAGCATAATTCTTAATGTTTACAATAACATGTATATTATAAACATGTTTACCATTCTTCCACTATAATTTTTCTAAAAGAAATTACACCCAATAGAGCACCAATTATTTAAATGAGAAATTCAGCGCTTTGCTGCAATCCTGCAGAATCTTCAACACACTTCAACATAGATTGTTTTGCAATTCTTACAAGGCCGTCATTATTATTCCTATATTCAAAACATGGATGCGTGGGAGCCAAAAGGGTTTGGCTTGCCTGCGGCACTTTGCTGAGTTTATGGCTGAGGCAAGGTTTAGGAGCACCTTGCTGGTTTTCCCATTGTTCTAACCCAAGCATCTCAAAGGGCCCTGTGTACTTTTAAAAGATTCTTGCCAAAAACATAAAAATGTTTGTGTCTTTTGGCAAAGTGTGGGGGGGGGGGGGGGGGGGGTCCGCCATTTCCGTGTGGTGTGTGTGGAAAAGGTGGGCTGGACTTGGAAAATCAGCAAATACCAGTGCTTTGTACTGACCTTCTTCCTCACCCTTAAATTGTCCTTACTGTGAGAAGAGATGATCATTTTTTGTGGGAGTTCGTGCTGTATCTGTAGAACAACATGGTTATGATGGTTGTATTACTAATTTCCCAGCTTGCCAGCAAATCCCTCACTCTGTGTCTTTGCAGACTTGAGCCTGGAAGGCACTCCGCTCCTGTGGTCTGCTCTGTGTCATAGTGACTGTCTTTTTCTCCAGAGCATTTATCATCTCATTTGATATTTTGCTTGTACCTGCAATTTCTTTTCCTCCCCACAGCCACAAATGCTGCACCCGAGCATTTCTGCCCCTCTCTCTTGCCTGCCTTTTTCCTAGGTGCAAGAGCTGCTGAGAACTGATATCTGAGCTAGACCTTTGTATAAGAAAATGCAGCCGTTGCTGCAAATTTCTTAGCTTGGAGCAAGATGCTGTTGACTCCTTGTCATCACAAGAAAGCAAAATTAGAATGCATCACAAGAACACAATCTTAGAATGCATTTATGGCTTATGTACAGTTGCTTTTCATCTCTGAGGGGGGGGGGGCTTCACTGTGCAGGGTCTACAATGACACAGGTGTGCATCAGTCTTGTGACATACCTTTATGGTATTGAGCTCCTGCCACTACCAAAAAAAAAGACTGCTCTTGGGGATGCAGCATAATATTAAACATCTATTCAAGGAAACACTACCAAATAGATGGGGAAATGGTCCATATTTCCTCAGCTTCCTTCAGTATTGGACAGAAAAAAGTGCCCCTTCTTCTTCCTCCTGAGTTTTGAATCAAAATATTGCTGGTATGATTCAGGTGGACGGTCACACTGGCCATAGGTCTCCCGCCTCTCATGTATATGTTCAGTGGACTGTAAAATGTGTGCCATTCTGATTCCAGTATATATCATGCTGATTCCAACCTTTTGGGATATCCGTCAGATAATTTTCTTCAGATACCGAGGTTTAAGTAATGCTTACCTCAACCCAGTTTTTTACTGAATACCATACAACCTGTTGGACTGATGTCAGGAGCAGGATATATTGTGAGATACATTTTGTTTGGTTACAAGCAAGCCAATTGCTCAGTTTAGAGAAAATTATTAAATTAAACTGGATCCTTGCTATTTTGTATAACAGGCTCATAGAACTGGAAGGCCTATGAGCATCCCCAACAAGTGGATTTTTGACATTTGCTTACTATATGGCACTCATAAATGGACATAGTAATCCAGATGAGCTCTGGTTGGGTACAGAATAAAGTCAGAACTGTTGCCTCTGTGGAATTGGAAATGCTGGCTCTGTTGATGAATACGAAAATAGTATTTGCCCCTCTTTACAGCAGCATCACATTGCAGACCCATCTTCAGTTGTAACCGACTACCATTGGGAAATCCCCAAGTATCCTGTATCCTATAACTTCTCTTGTCTTTGTTGTATTGTTTTGTTTTGTTTTTTTTTAAAAAAAACCTTTTAATTATTATACTTGTAGAAATTTATTCTTGCCTTCTGAGCTGTGTAAATCGGTTAAATATTCCTTATATTCTTTTGGAAGGTAGCATATGGAATGAATTATTGTTCCACTAAGGATGTAGGCTGGCTTTTTAATTTTAATTATTTTGAGTAGTTTGATCTGGGCAGTTGGCAGTGGCCTTTTTAGATAGTTGATGTAAAAGTGCCCTGGCAACTAATCTCTGTTAGTTTGATTGCTATCTTCTCGATTCTGCTGCAGAGAGAGTAGTAATTGTTGCTTGAAAAACAAGAAAACAATTCCCTGATGCTATGAGCCACAGAAACTTGTTGCCACTAGGCATGACATTTCTGAATCCCTTTTTGCACATTTCTCTACCTTGATGTTGAATAATGTGTGGAGTTCATTTCTTTCATGCTGTGATCCAAAGAGAGGAACATCTTGGTCTCTCAGAAAGTATCTGGTCCTTAAGGTGTGCTCATTGCCAAGTACTGATACCGGTCAACTTGGAAACTGGATATCTTTTGCCCCTGGAGGCCTACATCTCAATATTTCCATAATTGGAACTGCCACAGTTCTAGTACCTTTCATGTTCCCCTCCGACAGCGGCTGAACAGTGCTAAATACAGACCTATATTATTTGTTCACAGAGATGCGGAGGATGCAGTTTATGGGAGGAATGGTTACGATTATGGCCAGTGCCGCCTGCGTGTTGAGTTCCCCAAGCCTTCCCGAGGCCGGGGTGGTTTTGGTGGGGGGCCTCGTGGGAGGAATGGCCCTCCGTCACGGCGCTCCGAATTCCGAGTCCTGGTTTCAGGTACGTTCCTTCTCTACTTCATACTAGGATCCATCCTGATGCCATGCTTCACATAGATTGTATTGGGGAGAAGGAGTGTCTTGCTGCCATAGTAGAAGGTTTCTGCTTTAATATGAAACCTGTGCCTGTGAAGGAGTTTTTTCAGAGCTGCAAGAGGACAAGACCCCTTTCTGGTTTCATACATGAAGGAAGCCTCTGCTTGGGACGTTCGTCTTGATGAAGGAATGGTGAGCCAAAATGTCTCTGCCTGTAGACAGGCGTGCATCGTGGACATGGAAGTGGGCAACTTGTGGGTGGGTAAAGGGAAGGACGAAGAACTTGGGGGACATCCTTGTAGTGTGCTGGGACATCACATAGCTAAAGTAACTTTAAAGGAAAGGATTCTGTGGGACAAAACTGAGTCTCTTAAGGACCGGTGATACAGCAGCTGTACTACACTTATGAGAGAAAACTTACCTGAATTAGAGCCCTCAATTGATAGCCTTGTGGATTCCTGAAAGCAACTTTGGCCTATCTGGAATAGGGATCTGGTTAGTAAGTTGGGAGAGACAGGTGGAAAATCCTCTTATTGGAGAGAACTGGAAGTATTTTGCCATGGAGATCAAATCTCTGGAGAAAATTCAGCATTTCCTGGCCAGATTTATGGAATGGTCCACTTAAACCCTGTGTATTTCTCCACACGCTACTTAAGTAAAACTCAGTGAACTAAATGTGATTCTCTGCATGTTATCGCAACTAGCAATAGGAAGGTTCACTGTGAGGAAACCACTGAATTGCAATCTCTTCCGCTTTACAACAGGATCTGAAAACAAAACAAAACAAAAAAAGGTTGAACCCCAGGTGTACATCTCCCACCCAGAAGCCTGGGAGGGCAGGGAGGATGTCTGGAGAAATCCCTTGACTTTGGGCATGAATTTTGAGAACTTGCCTTGCTATAAAGTATTGCGAAGCATTCTTCAAAACTGCCAGGAGCATACTAGTCTCCAGGACATGATGTCTAACAGGGGAGCCACTCACCTTTGTCTGTTCTTAGTGACCATGCTGGTAGTTTACACCCAGGTCTCCTTGCTCCGCAACCCAAGGATGACCTGTTGGAATCTAAGGACCCAGACTCACACTGTTAGAAGGGGACTGTCATTCTTGGATGGGAATCTGATCCCAAATAACTAAATCATACGTGGAGTACAGTCTGTCCAGTCAGAGCTAGGGGTGATAAGTGTACATTGGACCAACGGGAGGATTCCTCTGCATTGCCCAGCACTCTCCATCCTAGAGCTGCCCAGGGGACTGCCTTGAGGACGTGGAGGGCTCACCCACTCTGGAATGGAAGTTAACTGCTGTTCTTTGGATCCCTCTGTTCTTATTGTAGCATTGAATGTCTGGAATAAGCAGGAAGTCCGTGGAAGTGTGGCGCCTTGGACACCCAGGAGGGACTCTCCCTGGCACAGTCTAAACAGCTTAGTGTCATCTCTTTACGCCGTCTCTTCTGTTTTGTGTTCTCACTGTTCAGGGCTTCCTCCATCAGGCAGCTGGCAGGACCTGAAAGATCACATGCGCGAAGCTGGTGATGTATGTTATGCCGATGTACAGAAAGATGGCATGGGGGTGGTTGAGTTTCTCCGCAAGGAAGACATGGAATACGCACTGCGTAAACTGGATGACACCAAATTCCGCTCTCATGAGGTGGGTCCCTGCCTGTGGGTGAAGAGCATGTGCGTGGGCCCGTCATGGAGGAACATGCCTTAACCTGTCCTGTTGTGACGCTCCCAAGAGGCTCCAGGGCACGATCTAGCGATTGTGTCGGAATTGGTGGCCAACGGTAATCCTTTTAGCCTGTTGGGAATCCCGTGTGAGAGCTGCCAACGCTTTGGGAAACCTGCCCCACGATGGCACGGTTTGAGCCTTGACAGCCAAGATCAGGTTTCATGTTTTCCTTCTTAAGTTACATGGAAAAGGAGCACTTGCCTCTGACTTCTGGGTAAGTTGAGCTGCCTTGCTTTCCCATTTTCCCTTTGACAGCCAACGGCTGGACAGAAACGTCTACTGGCTGGCTGTCTCAATAAGGCTAGCTTACCTTGATTTGTCAGTCTGGGGTTATACCAGCCAACAACAGCCTTGTTGACCAAAGGAGCCGATGAGCCTTGACCATGGCTGCCAGGTAGCAGTCTTCCCCCTCTGTGCATAGAACTGCAGCCTTTGGGCATTGCTGTCTCACTTGCAACCACCTTCTTTCAGTGGCTGTCACAGCCACTGCCTTTTCTGTCACAGCTGGATGCTGCTTGCTGTGGAATTTTGCCTCCAGAATCTTCTGAGATACCATTAAATTCAGATGAGCTGGTGAAAGAATTCACCAAGGCATCTCCCAGCTATGCGGAAAGACTGCACTAGCTTCCATCTTTTACCCTCTGGCAGTGAAAAGTTGGAAACTGACCTCTTCACCCTCCTCTTAGTTTCCTGGGCTCTGGTAGCCTTCCTAGTAGCCTGCACCGTAGTAGCCATTCTGTGCTTTGCCCTTTCTCTAGACCTCAAAGGGCCAAGGCCTTGGGGGAAGGATCCGTACTGCCTGTGTGTGGAAACTTCAACCTTGAACCCCTTGGGTTACTGAACTCCATTTGGGGCATTCATTCATTCATAACCTTGACCCTGGGGAGTCATGCCAACGCTTGGGTTTTCTCTCTTTTAAATTCCAGGGTGAGACGTCCTATATCAGAGTTTGTCCTGAACGAAGCATCAGCTATGGCTACTCGCGCTCCCGTTCTGGTTCGAGGAGTCGCGATTCTCCCTACCAAAGCAGGGGATCACCACGCTACTCTTCTCCCTTCAGGCCCTTCTGAGTTACCCAACAGGGACTTCTTCAAATGTGAACTGAGCTCTTTATTTCTGCTCAGAGTTTACATTCCAGAATGGATGGATATAGTCTTTCGTAGGAAGCCTTGTTTTTTCCCCCCTTTCTATTCAAATAAAATCTTTTTTTATGACTTAACCGTTTTTAATAGGGAAGTGTTGGTAATGGATCCTATCAACCATTGCCACTTTACACTTTTGGTTTGGAAAATGTACATTGTTTTTTTGTTTCTCCTTCTGAATGCTGTGAGGTGAGCTTGAGAGCTAGTGTGCAGGCATGGCTTGTCTGCAGGAAGGTGCTTTCAAACAGTGGGGAACCTGTATGGCTCAACCTGTGTTGGTGTCCTGAAATATGCTTCAATGTTTCTGTAACTCAAATGTGGGGGGCTGTCTTTCTGTGTAGCGTTTGGGAACCTGGTGTGAACAGCTGGACCTGGATTTTAAACTGCTTGCTATTACTGGGGAAAGAAGCCCTTTAACCTTTTGTGTGACTGTCGTGGTGGAAACACAGAAGGAATTTTAACTCTCAAAAGCCCCATGCAATTCTTCAACAACAGTCTATGTCCATCATTTCATGAGCAATACCCACGAAAGGTTCGAATGGCAATGGGGAAGGAACTGCTGGGAAAGGACTGGCAGAAATTGGTGGTGGCCTTCTCTGTCTCTTAAAATTTGTTCTCTTGCAACATTGGCTCAAGTTCTGCTTCAGTTCTCGCTTGACCTTATAGTGGATTTGTAAACTGACGTCCCAGACATGAAGAAGGGGGTTGCTGAGACTTTCTTAACAACCTGGTTGCATAGTCCTAATGGAGCACCATATAAGAACTGAGCCGTGGCTTTGGCTTTGAATATGGGCATGGCCGCAGGGACATGACAGCATTGAAGAAACGGACGACGACTGACAGGCTAAAGTGCATGTTTGTGTTGAGCAGTCCAGCTAGTGCTACGTTGGAAGTATAGTCCTAAGAATGTGAACTCTTTCATTTGTTCCCAAGCGTTGCCCTCAATGTCCAATAAAATTTCTACCATACATTTTGGATTTTGCGAACTTGATAGTAGGTTTATGTCGGGGGCAAGAATCCTGTTGGTGACTTGCTGGTGTAAAACCAGTTAGGCCAAGGTAAAGACTTTTCAAGGGGCATGCTATGGCTTTTATTGTATAGCCAAGGACCAAAGAGCAGTCTCGGGCCAACAGCATAGCTACTCTAGTGGCCAAGTAGCATTGTAGCCACAAATCTCTACATATTTTTCTTCCAGGCCAGCTAGGCTGAAAGCTTCCCCCGAGTCTGTCAGGTCAAGGAAGGGCAGTTTCCAACACACAGTCGTCTTCCGCCGCCCATTCCACAAGAGCTCCTTAGAAAAAAAAGCCCACAGTCACTTTTCAATCACAAAAGGCCGGAAGCCATCTCCTCCCACCTCAATTGCTGTATTTCTCTGCCAAAGTGGGTGAGACAGACAATGGCTCAGATCAGAACAGAAACCAATCTGTTCCATTGTCAAATGGCTTTCTGCCCACGCTAGCATTGCCTGGTGTTTTATACCCTTTAGAAATAAACTTCCAGCATTATTGGGTCTTCCTTTTTAAAAGGTGAGCACTGTTTTTGCCTTGGTCCCTGATTTGGGGGCTCCCTGCTTTACCTCTAAGAGCAGTTAGGAGAAAGCCATCATTCCAAATGCCTTTTTAAGAAAATCATTTGGTGGAATCTATCCGAGCCTTGTGTCTCCTTGAGCTGAGATATTTTTTGAAAATGACTTACATTCATAAAGGGCCACTCTGGCAAATAGAAGGATGCAGCATCTGTGGGATCAGAGTTGGCATTGGAAGAGTCCTAGATATGTTTGTAAAAGACTCCTATCTACGGGCAGGGCCTAGGCAGTCAAGAGGTCCATCTGCTGTGAGGACCAAACGTCTGATAATAAGCCTTTACCCAAAGGTGCATCTTTTACTTTAATCTCATTTCAACTGAGGGAAGGAGTGGGTCATAATTACTAGAATTATGCCTTGAGATGAAAATCCCCCAACCCGCTCCTCACTTCAGGGCTTTTCTAGCCACCAACAGGATTCTGCCCATTGTGTTTTAGTGTGTACCCAAAAGCTGTTTTGCTCTCCTGTTAAGGCTGCAAACGTTTGGATGCAAGCGTTATTGATGTCAGTGGGACTTCTGTGCAAATGTACACATTGGACCAGGCTGCATGTGTTGTACCTAAAGTTTAATAAAATGGAGGAAATGGCTTTCAGTTCCACAATGTCTGTTTCCTATATATGTTTCTACAGCAGAGTGCTACCGACCTTCCCTTTTCTAGAATAGAAGATCGCCTGCCTATTCAAACTGTTGAAATGCAGATTGTTTAGTAAACAGCGGCTCTATTGTTTTTATACAGAGCTGACCGAGCATTGATAATTCACTTTTAACCATTTCCCCCAGTTACTTTGTGATTCCTTGTCTTTGTGGTATTTTGACATGGAGTGTTTCTGTTTGTGTATTAAAATATTGGCTTCTTTTGACGTATGTTGCTCTTTCAGACACTGATCACATCTTGTCCCTTGGAAGCTATGACAGCTTGTCTTTATAAACACACACCAAACTTGAATGCAGGGCAAATATGACCATATTTATGTGAGACAGCACTGATGACATTCCATACATTATTCAAACTTTCTCTTGTTTTAGAGGCTGACTCTTAGGCAGGAAAGAAGGACTAGAGGACTTTAAAAGCATACAGCGTTATCAAAAGACTTCTCTACCAGAAGAGGCCTTGGGAGGCTGCTTCTCACAGTTAATTCAGTTTATCTCCCCTTTTAAGTTACAAACAGAGATGGAATGTGACAGGCCTTGAAAGTGTGCTTTATTTTCACTCACAATTTTCAGAGAGTTCTTGCAGCGCTGTCCTCATTCCATGCTTCTAAAGTGGGCCCTCTTCAGAATGTAGTGTGCTTCCCCCCTCTTTTTCAGGAAGACTTACAATCCTTTGGCCATAATCAAAGATTCCCTTTTAAGTATAGTCAGGCCCAACTTAAATTGGCAGGTATGCACTTAATGCTACACTAGACCTGACATAAGCATATATCCCATAGTCAAGAATTGTCATGCCAGAGAGAGACTGAATTCCCAGAAAAGAACTAACTGACAGCAGTCCAGCCTAGACTTCTTCCTTCCACAGGAACTTCTCTCTGTCTTCCAGCTTTGGTAAAGGGATGTTGCCTAATACAAACAATAAAAGTGCCTGGGATTAAACCCCTTTCTGCTTTAAACATTTGGAAAAGATTTAGAACTTTTCAACAAGCTCTTAAAGCAGAATGATGTTACCTGGTGGGGCCACAAAATACTCTTCAACGGTTTGCTTGGCTTTCTTCAGTAATTCCTCGGCGCAGCTGCCTTCTGTGATGCTGTCATCGTGGAGGTACAGGCACCTGTGGCACAAAAGGCAGCAATGGGTTTCTGAAGTGGGGGAATGCTCATCAGCGAAGGTTTGGCCACCTCATTCTTACTTTCAAAGGCAAATGTCATGTAGTTTGTGAAAACATACAATAGCTTTCCTTCCCTGTTCTGTTTTAGTAGTCTAGACCTCATTCTAGTTTGAATTGACCATCCAGGGCAAAGGGATGCTTTTAAATAACGAAACACTATTTTATGACTGCGTAAGAGCTGTTCCTATGCTTTATGTAAACGACTGGATCGTAAGGTTTCCTTGGCAAGAACAAGCCAGAAGGGGGTTGCTATGGGCTCCCTCTGAGGCTGAGCGAGTGACTTGCCCAGTAGGTTTCCTGGTACAATGCAACCAAAATGTAAAACCAAAAATAGGGGCAGCACTACAAGTGGAACCCTCTAAATCAGATATATAGATACACACACACATACATAGGGCTCTTTGCCCAGGAACTCTATCTATCTATCCACATACATACACACACACATAGGGCCCTTTGCCCAGAATGGAAAACAAGCTTGTAATCCTTCAATGGACTATAAGGCCAGTTTTAAATACAACAAACCATTGTGGAGTCAATCTAATCATGGGGAATAAATCTATGGAGAGGGCCTTGACATTTCACAGTTACCTGTCTTCCAGGACAGAATCCATGGGCTGGACTCCTCCTGTATCCACCATGTGCAGCTGCTCGGCAAACTCGATGGCTTTCTCCAAGCGCTGTACACCTTCCTGGTTGCGGAAGTCCACCAGTGCCAGGCGCTCCAGATGGTCCAGCAAGTCCAGAGTCACCCTTTGGGTCTGCAAGGGAGGGAGAGGGACACAGATTGAAGATGTGCAAAGAAGTTATTGGCAAAGAACAGAGACAGACTCCTAAGAGAGACGGCACCTCTGAAGGGGAAGAAAGGCATTTCAGGCATAAGCATCTACACAAGAAGGAATGCAGCTTGAAACTTTGATCTGCCACAGCTCAATGCTATGAGAGATGAGGTCCCGTCCTATCCCACCACCCGAGAGGACTTGTGCTTGGGAACCATGGTTCTTGTTCATAGGACCGGGTTGCTGCTCACCAGCACTGCCTTCTTAATAGTATGAGCAGATTTGAGTGTTGAGCAAGAGAGAAAAGTGGGGTATAAATAAATATAATGATTATGACTGGAGAACAATCATAATCATTACGATGCTTATTTGTTTATTGGAGATTATGAGTACGCTACACAACAAAATTCTGTTCCTGGTTTGAAAGTGCTATTTCCTGCTTAATTGTGCGGTTTTTACTTTGAAAGTAGTTGTTGTACACCAGAAACCTCCTTTTTGTGTCTGCCAAAAACGAGGTTGAATTGGTTGAGACTCTTATCAGATATTCACTGAACAACAATTGCAAAATGTGCTGAAGGATGTCCTGCACAAACAAAGTTTTGGCAGTGCAATAAACTTTTCCCATGTTTTTATGATAGAACCAATTAGGAAATGACTGCTAACTTAGGAACAAAAGTTGTTACATAGTTAATCATAATCATTACTATTATGTTTATTTATATCCCACTTTTTCTCACTATATGGAGACTCAGACCCCTTCCACAAAGCTGACTAAAATCCTACGTTATCTGCTTTGAACTGGAATACTTGGCAGTGTGGACTCAACCTAATTCAAAGCAGATCTTTTGGGATTTTCTGCCTTGATATTCTGGCTTCTATGGCTGTATGGAAGGGCCCTCAAAGCGGCTCACAACTAAAGCATTGCAATACAACTTTTATTATAATAGCTATTTATAAATAAATATATTTTGTCCTGGGCCCAGTCCTCCTATTCAACATCTTTATAAATGACTTAGATTAAGGGTTAGAAGGCATGATCATCAAGTTTGCAGATGACACCAAATTAGCAGGGATAGCCAATACCCCAGAAGAATTCAAAACAATCTGAACAGATTAGAGAGATGATGGGCCAAAACGAACAAAAAGAAGTTCAACAGTAACCAAGCTACTCCACTTAGGCAGAAAAAATGAAGTGCAAAGAGACTGAATGGAGGATGCGTGGCACAACAGCAGTACATGTGAAAAAGATCGTGGAGTTCTTGTTGACAACAAGTTAAACATGAGCCAACAATGTCATGTGGCGGCGAAAAATGCCAGTGGGTTTTAGGTCTGCATAAATAGGAGTCTAGTGCCTAGATCCAGGGAAGTCATGCTACCCCTCTATTCTGCCTTGGTCAGATCACACCTGGAATCACACTGTGTCTAATTGTGGGCACTGCAATTAAAGGGAAATGTTGACAAGCTGGAATGTGTCCAGAGGAGGGCGACTCAAAGGATCAAGGGTCCGAAGAACAAGCCCTACAAGGAGTGGCTTAAAGAGCTGGGCATGTTTAGCCAGAAGAAGAGAAGGCTGAGAGGAGATATGATGAGGGCCATGGATAAAGATGTGAGGGGAAGTCATAGGGAGGAGGAAGCATGTTTGTTTTCGGCTGCCCTGGAGACTAGGATGCACTGGCTTCAAACTACAGGAAAGAAGATTCCACCTGAACATTAAGAAGAACTCCCTAACAGTGACAGCTGTTCAGCAGTGGAACTCTCTGCTTTGGAGTGTGGTGGAGGCTCCTTCTTTGAAGGCTTTTAAACAGAGGTTGGATGGCCATCTATTGGGGGTGTTTTGAATGTGATTTTCCTGCTTTTTGGCAGGGGGTTGGACTGGATGACCCACGAGGTCTCTTCTAACTCAAGGATTCTATGTTTCTATCAAATCTATTACAATATATTCAATGCTAAAAATCTTAACAGTAGCTACATCTGTATGGTCTTAATAAAAGGTTGCTTACAGGTACATTACCATTGTAGGAGGAAATAGTTTAGTTGCCGTTAAGCCTAAGACATATCAAGATGGAATTTAGTAGGTTGCATGGTAGTCTGGTCCTACTTTTTGGACTATATAGAGTTATGCCAAATGTCAGCATTAATTGCATCCAAATAAGAACACACAAATTATATATAATAGGAGATTATCCGTGTTTTATGCCAGTGCAGTGTGAAATCATCTTTGTGTGCGACACACACATCTAGATATGGAGCAATAACAGTTGACCATTTATCATCACAGAGGATCTAAATTGAGACCAGATGTCTTTCTGAAAGCACTCTGGAGTCCAATATATGTTATAGGGCTCAATAATATCTGCCCCATGGTAGGAAAAGAACTTCCTAACTGTGAGAGCTGTTTAGCAGTGGAACTCTCTGTTTGGAGTGTGGTGGAGGCTCCTTCTTTGGAGGCTTTTAAACAGAGGCTGGATGGCCATGTTGGTTGGTTGGGTGGGGGCTTTCAATGCGATTTTCCTGCTTCTTGGCAGAATAGGGTTGGACTGGATGGCCCACGAGGTCTCTTCCAACTCTAGGATTCTATTTATATTCAAAGCTGCTTTACATAAAAGCCTTAGTATACAATTGTAAATATACAAATAATATATATTACTCAATGTGTTTATTTATTGGAGAGGATGATGATAGGAGTGTTAGCACCATTTATGCCTCAATCCCCTGCTTGCCTCTCTAGATAGAGACCCAACCTTTAAAGCCATTCAAAGCCTACGAAGTAGACATGCTAAAAAAGAAGCTGCGGCTTGAGCTGGGGTGAGGAAGCCCTTTGCGGCGCTCTGCACGCGCTCAGAGGCACCCTGGCCAAGCCAGTTCTTACGCTTCCCGGCCGAGGAGGGACCCAAGTGCCAAAAGCCGCTCTCAAGACCCAAGAGGCGCTTGGGATCCTCATGCTGAATATCCAGCGCCGCTTCCTGGCTCGACTTCCTGTTCCGGGGGCCAGACAGGAAGTGACGGCCTATCCCTGCGCCATGGTCTTGCTCGAGAGGGAGGGGGCGCTGCTGCTTCTGCTGTTTGTCTTCCTTTGGCTCCGCCGCCATGAACAGCGTGGGCGAGGCTTGCACGGAGCTGAAACGGGACTACGACCAGTGCTTCAACCGCTGGTTCGCCGAGAAGTTCCTGAAGGGCGAAGGCGGCGGCGGAGGAGGAGGAGGCGAGAGCGGCGGGGAGCCCTGCCTCCAGCTCTTCAAGCGGTACCAGCTCTGCGTCCAGGCAAGAGGGCCCCGGGGCATGCGCAGAGGGCGGGCGGGCAGGCGGGCTATCCTGCGGCTGCCTAGGAGTCCTTTGGAGTCCCCTTCTCCGGAGGCTTTGAAGCGTTGGCTGGCCATCTCCCATAGTGTCTCCCTACCGAACATCCTGGGGTTGGGCTGGATGACCCTTGGGAGTCCCAAAAGGACTAGTGCCTCACCATACTCCCAGGATTCGATACCATTCCAGTGGTGACATCAATTTCACAGTGTGGAGATGCACCCGCAATTTCTCTGGGATCATACAATCATAGAATTAGAAAAGACCCCATGGGTCATCTAGTCCAACCCCCTGCCATGCAGGAAAAGCACAATCAAAGCACACCCGACAGATGCCCATCCAGCCACTGTTTCAAAGCCTCCGAGGAAGGAGCGTCCACCACACTCTGAGGCAGACAGTTCTGTCGTTGAGCACCTCTTCTTACAGTCTTCATAATCATAGAATCATAGAGTTGGAAGAGACCTCATGGGCCATCCAGTCCAACCCCCTACCAAGAAGCAGGAAAATTGAATTCAAAACACCCCTGACAGATGGCCATCCAGCCTCTGTTTAAAAGCTTCCAAAGAAGGAGCCTCCACCACACTCCGGGGCAGAGAGAGAGAGTTCCACTGCTGAATGGCTCTCACAGTCAGGAAGTTCTTCCTCATGTTCAGATGGAATCTTCTTTCTTGTAGTTTGAAGCCATTGTTCCTTGTCCTAATCTCCAGGGCAGCAGAAAACAAGCTTGCTCCCTCCTCCCTATGACTTCCTCTTGCGTATTTATACATGGCTATCATGTCTCCTCTCAGCCTTCTCTTCTTCAGGCTAAACATGCTCAGGTCTTTAAGCCGCTCCTCATAGGGCTTGTTCAGGTGGAATCTCCTTTCCTGTCATTTTTACTTCCTAGTCTCAGTTTCAAGGGGAGCAGAAAACATGACGCCATTTCCCATATTGATATATGGCTCTCATGCCCACTCTCTTTTCTGCAGGCTAAACAGACAAGTTCTTTAATACGCTCCTCAGAGCGATTCATGGTTTCCAGACCTTTGATCATTTTAGTTGCCCTCCTCTGGATAGGGCAGAGGATTCTGGATCTCTAAAGGCCAAGCGATCACTTTGTTTGCTCTCCCAGATGACGCTTTTTACTGGCCCAGACTGACTCCCCTGGCAAGAGAGATTGGCTCATCCAAATCGCTAGGATCCTCTGGTGGCGCAGTGGGTTAAACTCTTGTGCTGGCAGGACTGATGACTTGAAGGTTGGGTTGCTGACCTGAAAGTGACCTGAATTGAATCCAACCCGGGAGAGTATGAATGAGCTCCCTCTATCAGCTCCAACTCCATGCAGGGACATGAGAGAAGCCTCCCACAAGGATGTTAAAAACATTTAAAAAAATCTGGGTGTCCCCATGCAATGTCCTTGCAGACAGCCAATTCTCTCACACCAGAAGCGACTTGCAGTTTCTCAAGTTGCTCCTGACCCAAAAAAAACCCCAAATCGCTGTCTGCACCTGGGGGAGATTGTCCTTTTTCATCCAAATGTTGAAACTCCTTTAAGGATTGAACCCCTTGCTGCTAGAATCTGAACCAGATGTGGTTAGCGCACTTAAAGAGTTCTCATGAAACCTGCCCTCATGTCTTTTTTCTCCTCTCACAGAAAGCGATCAAAGAGAAGGAGATCCCCATCGAAGGGCTGGAGTTCATGGGCCCCAGCAAAGGGAAGTCAGAAAACTCTTCCTGACCGCTGGGGCGGCTGGAAAAGGATCTTTCAAATGCTGGCAAACCGTCAAAGACTTTGGAACAGATGATGAACTGAAACCCGAGGATTTGCCTCCCCTCGAATCCCGTCCGCCGTATCTCCGTTTTTACCGACAATTGGGGAAGGGTTTCTGATTTTCAACTGAATGTATTTTTAACTGCATAATCAGGGAGAGGTATAGGGATGACGTATGATCACTTTGATTTCTGGGAACGTTGCTGTCAAAGGGCTATCTGAGGGGCCTGATTGGTGAATGGATCGATCTGTTTTGGTGGGTAGATCCTTCAATCTTCTCTGTCCCTCTCAAAACTCTCCGGAAAGGCCTCTTCTTTGGCTGCAGCGGGGTTTTAAAATGTAGCATCCATGGAAAATTATGCTTCTGAAATTGATTGTCCTTTTTTGGCAGAACATGTACTATGCTGCGCATGATTATTTATTTATTCACAATCTTGTGAAGAAATTCAGTCTTCCCTCCTTTATGAGAAAGTTCTAGGTCCATCCTTTATTTTGACAGAAGCAATGTGCTTAGAACGTTTGTCCAGCTATCAGGGCTGGCTAGTGAAAAACAAGGATGGGTGAACATTAATTATATTTCCCCCCTTTAAGAATGACAAAGAGCTGTGGGTACCATTTCATCTCTGTACCTCAGTAAATGGAGAAAGCAAATGAGGTCTATAGGCATCAATCCAGATTCAGAGCTAGTTGAAATGAGCCAGCTTCATTTTAACTGCCTGCCTCCAGATTACAAAAGGAAATCTGGAAGTGAAGGCAAGTGGGTCGCTTTCTTAAGATAGAAATCTGAGGTGGTAATTGTGATCTTCCATGTTGGGCTGCAATGCCTATTACTCCTAGCTGGCTTAGCCAAAGGTGAAGAATGCTGGGAGTTGCAGTCCAATGTGTAGATTGGACTGCAACTCCTCATGATTTCTTCCCCAATCCAAGTGCTTGCTGTGCTAGTTGTGATGCCTTCTCTTGGTACCAAGGAAGCAAAGCTCAAGCCACTCAAGGGTAGGACCTGGGTGAGAGCTTTGCTTGCGGCACCTTTTTGTCTTCTTGCCTGTGCTCTCTTGCGAGAGGCAGAATCCTCACATCTCTTTGCTTCCAGCCACGCCAGGCTTTTGTAGTAGGGGCTAGTTTTTAGTTCAGTGCTAATGACGATGCGTTATCCCTCTCCTTCCCTTATTGAGGCAACCATCGTGGTGTGCTTTAGAATCTACTAGTGACTCTAGAGGACCCTGTCAAGTCAGTTGGCTTGGACCTTGCCAGCAAACTCCAGTTCATAATTTGGAAGGAATCACCGTAGCAGGGAAAAGCTGACATTTGAAATTCCTCCCCCCTGAAGACCCAATGCTGGGAAGTTGCTATTGGGGAAGGGGCAACAAACCGCTCACACAAGGCACCTTCCAAACTGGACATGATCTTCCTGTTCTTCATAGAGAAGCAAAAAGGCTCCCTGATTGTGGCTGCTGCTGTAGACATTTCTTGCCACAGAAAGTGCCTTATATCCAAGCTGCTCTGTATTTATGTGTCTGTCTTCCGCTATGGGCAAAATGGGACTTGACTTCAGCAAATAAAATGTACAACAGCAGTCTCTTGTTGTGGGCTGTCCTTTTGGGGGCTATTACAATGAGGAAAGTCAGCATATTTGACTTGTGGACAAACCACTCTGGTGCTATTATAACTCCTTCCCTGAGTTTCCAGCCTTCTTGGCAGGACTGTTTAGTAAGCATGTTCATGTTGCCACATGGGCCAGGATTCATAAACAGCAACCTCAGAGGAAAATAGAGCCCCTCTTGAAAAGCTGGCAACCAAAAAGCTTGCTGCATTGACTAAAAATGCATCTATCCACTCAGGCTTTGGGCTTTGGAGTTGGAAGCAATTCTGAGTGGAGTCAATAGAAATGTACCAACATTTATAATACTGAACACCTAGTTTGCTGTGGATTTTCTTTCAGAAATGTTAATCAAACATATTTGATCTATCGAAGTAGCCAGACAAATTCATGTGGTGAGGACAAATGTCTTGAACTCCCATTTCTCAACAGTAAATTTAGGATTACTACATTACACATTGTGAAGACAGAAGAAAACAGAGGAGTCAATACCTCCACAGCCTTGTGTGCCATTGTTACTGTAGATTTTGACCGTGCTTTATCAATAGTATCCCTTCTTTTAAATTATTATATACTGAAAAGCAATAAAAATAAATGTTACAGCTTTGTTACTCCCTTTCACAATACAGAAGGATGCTGTGCCTTCTAGATTGTGGTGGGGTAGCCATATACTATTTCCTTATTTGAACTTTTCTCCTAAGAGAATCTTTTAACCACAGCAGCATGATGCTTTCTCTTAACACTGCTGCAGCTCAGCTCCAGGGATTCTTGGACAAAACCTGATTATCTGAATCCACCGCTGTCTGGCTTCAGACCTGGTCATGGTACGGAGACGGCTTTGGTTGCCTTGGTGGATGACCTCCGTAGAGAGCTGGACAAGGGGAGTGTGTCCTTGTTGGTTCTCTTACACAGCTCAGCGGCTTTCGATACTATCAACCACGGTATCCTTCTGGGGCAGCTTTCCGGAATGGGCCTTGGAGGCACTGCTCTGCAGTGGCTTTGCTCCTTCCTGGAGGGTCACTCCCAGTCGGTGAAGCTGGGAGACTCCTGCTTGGACCCCTGGCCATTGATCTGTGCGGTCTTGCAAGGGTCTATTCTTTCCCCCATGCTTTTCAACATCTACATGAAACCACTGGGTGAGGTCATCCAGAGTTTTGGAGTTCGGTGCCTCTCTATGCAGATGACACTCAACTCTACTACTCTTTCTCACCAAATTCCAAGGAAGTCCCTTGGATCTTGGACCAGTGCCTGGCCACTGTGATAGACTGGATGAGGGCTAACCAGTTGAAGATTAATCCTGACAAGACAGAGGTCCTCCTGATCAGTATACGGCCCATCGGGGTATAGGGTAGCAACCTGTGCTCGATGGAGTTACAATCCCCGAGGACACAGGTCTGCAGTCTGGGGGTCTTCTTGGATTCAGCGCTGACGCTCAATGCTCGGGTGTTGGTGGTGGCCAGGAGGGCCTTTGCACAATTAGAGCTTGTGTACCAGCTGTGACTGGACCTCGTGAAGTCTAACTTGGCCCCGGTGGCCCATGCCTTAGTTACCTCCAGACTGGACTACTGTAATGTGCTCTACATGGGGCTGCCTTTGAAGATGGCACAGAAATTGCAGTTAGTGCAAGGGTCGGGGGCCCGGTTGTTAATTGGAGCCAATTACAGAGAGTGGTCCATCCCCTTGTTTAAACAGTTCTACTGGCTGCCAGTAAGTTTCCGGTCTCAATTCAAGGTGCAGGTTATCGCCTATAAAGCTCTAAATAGTTCAGGACCTGCCTATCTTCACGATCGCATCTTTCCCTAAGAACCTGCATGAACTCTAAGATCTTCTGGGGAGGCCCTTCTCTTGCGCCTACTTCCGCCACAAGCGTAGTTGGTGGGGACAAGGGAGGGGACCTTTTCAGTGGTCCTCCCCTCCCCCCGGCTCTGGAAACCTCTCTCCAGGAAGATTAGACTGGCGCCCACCCGGTCTACTTTTTGCAAAGACCTAAAACCGTGGATGTTCTATTGTGCATTTGACTAAACGGTTCACTAGATAACTCTGCACCCTCAGCCATAACTCAATATTTGGCTCCTGCACTTTACTACTCTCCCCTGTATATAGTGTTCTGATATTCTTCTTCTAGACCTAATTTATCAACTGGGTCCTGCACTTATTCCAACTACCCTGTCCTTACAACTTTATTGCACAAGCCCTTACCCGCCCGAGTTTAGTATCTGATCACTTTGTAAGGCTATCACCTGTTGTTGATGTTATTTTATGTTGTTTCTGTTGTTGCTTTTATAAATTTGATGGTGTTATGTTTTCATATTTTAATCTATGTTTGACCAGGCTAGTCCCCATGTAAGCCGCCCTGAGTCCCTTTGGGGAGATGGTGGTGGGATACAAAAATAAAGTTATTTTTATCATCATCATCATCATCATCATCATCATCATCATCATCAATGCATTCCCTCCACATTGGCTCAAAGTATATACAAGAGAAGCAAAATTCAGAGGAAAGTTTGAACAGCTGAATTTTATTTTTTTAAGTGGCCTCCAGCAAAACACTGCTGGAGGTCAGAACGCCATTCATAATTTGACAGTACATGGAATGCAGAACATTTATATTAGTGGGTCCCAGCTTAGGTTCTGGTCCAACTACCTTCAATGGTTCTTACGGGGCGGTGGTCCACTTGCTTAATGGTCGTCTTCATAGCCGGTTGGGAGTGCATTAACGTGGGGGTTATGGAAAAGAGTATGGTTCCCGTCACCCCAAGGGAAGGGCTGTCGAGAGACAAGAAAGGGCCATTTTCACACATCACTTTGTAAAAACCCATTTGAGAAGAGTCTCCCACAAGCAGAAGGACTAGACAGTGTTGGCTGAGGGTGGAAAGACATGCAAGAAGAACCTGGAGCATCTAAATTTTTACAATCTGTTTAACTGGCCACTATGCAAGATTATTATTATGTTTATTTATACCCTGCTTTTTCTCTTCACAAAGGAGACTCAAAGCTGTTTACATGAAAAGCATTTCAATACAGTTTATATGTATTAAAACATTAAATTAGAATTAAACATCAATGGTATTAATGAAAAATAGTGAAAATCCTTAAAATGGATTAAAAACACATTCAAAATTTACAAATACCACTTAAATCTGGCATCCTTCTGGTCAATCTCAAACTACAGTAGAGCTGGCTGGCTGGCGAGGTAACCCATAGGTAAGCCCACGCGAGTCAATGGCTCTGCTTGAGTCAGGACTAACAGCAGAATTTAGGCCATTATCTAGGCCAGATTCACATGATGATTAGGGACATCGGCATCGGTTTCAATGACTCAGTGGGTCTGGGATTAACAACTGGGTTTAGCTTTCAAACTGGACACCAGGGTCAAAGAAGAAGATGTGAGTCAAATACCTTGGTCCGGATGCGAAGGTGTGAGTAGGGAATGAACTCAGGCCTCTCATGTTCATGCTGAGCCTTCAGGTAGCAGTTCAGCATGCAGACAGCAACACCCGGAAGGGCAACCACAAAGCTCAGGATCTTCCAGGTGCGGCCTACGAGAGAGGAAGCAAACACACAATACTGGTAATGCTAGTATGACCAATATAGCTGTAATTAGGATACAGTCCATCCTATTAACATTAGAACACCATGCAATTGCTACAGATGGGGAAACTTTGCAGCAAGGAAGTAGCCTACAACAGAACTTAGATTTGCAAGTTACTTGTGACTTCAACGGCCTTTCAACGTCAACCTCCAACTGGCCTGAATGCAAAGGGAAAGCCATTCCTTTGCTGCAAAAACCATGCCTTTGGCACCATTTCCTGTTTCAGGAGAAAGGAGGGCTTATACCAGTGGTTCCCAACATTTTCTTTTGGCCATGCCCCGCATAAGGCTCTCTAAAATCCCACAGATCTCTTAACTGCATTCATATGCAGAACAAAAAGACCTTTTTAATATATGTGCAGCTTGTAATGTTAAAAGAACTGTGAGCGGAGAAGTGGGGTGTTTGGAAGGAAAGTGGCCTCCCTTTTCTGGGCTCCTTCACTCTAGTGCACTTTGTGCTCTCTCCACTCCTTCCTCTCTATGAGGGGCTTTCTTTCCCCGTTTCCACTGTCACCAGCTGACTGCCCTGGACATTCTGATTTTAATTTCAAGAATGTCTAGGTTACAATATAGATTTATATACTGTATAGGAGGCCCCTAGAAGTGTAAGAAATGCCAAAAAATCATGGTTAATAACTTCTTCTTGAACTACTACCGAACATCAAATGGCCCTAAGTTGGGAATCAGGGATTAAAATCCCTCGGGAAATAGGGCGGGTTATAAATGAAGTTTATTATATTATTATTATTAAATCTTCAATAAATAAAACATTTCAAATGCTAGCAGTCAGTTGCTACTGTTTGCGCTGACCGGTTCAAGACCATGGTGTGCCAAGCAAATTTAGGATCTCTATAATAAAGGATAAATCAGTCTTGATGAATGGTTATTTATCTTATAAGGAATTATTTCTAGTCCTGAGTGAACGGTAATAATAAATGCATTAAAACATAGAAATAGTCTCACCCAGTTTACAGGAATTTTTATTTATATCCCACCCTAAGTCCCCGTGGGGTGGAGCCCCCAGTGGCACAACGGGTTAAATCCTTGTGAGAGTGGGATATAAATAAAGTTTATTTTTTTTATATTATCATATATATCATTACAAACAGGCCAAGATACTAAAACTGAATGCAAAGTGATGGGGTGGTAGATTCAAGCAACATGGATTTTTTAAGAAAATCAAAAGGTATGAAAAACAGTTGAAGTCCAAGAAGCTGAAAGAACAAGGTTGGGAAGGTTAGTACAATATATTGTATAGGAGCCCCCGGTGGCGCTGTGGGTTAAACTGCTGAGCTGCTGAACTTGCTGACTGGAAAGGTTGCCGGTGTGAAGCCGGGGACCAAGGTGAGCTCCTGCTGTTAGCCCCAGCTTCTGCCAACCTTTCAGTTCAAAAACATGCAAATGTGAGATCAATAGGTACAGCACTTTTAACTAATAGTATAATATACTGGTAGTGTATGATCTATATTGCATATAGTACTAATAATATGGCAGTCTAGTGGTATAGTACAATATAGCAATATCTAATACTAATATTGTGCTATGCGAATAATATATTATGCATACATATAATATGGATATTACTATTATGATGTAATATAATAGTACTAATAATATGCTGTGCTAATAATGCATTATAAATCCATATAACGTTATTAATAATATTATAATATGCTACTAATAATAATAATAATTTGTTCTGATTCTGTTGTGAGCCGCCCCGAGTCCTTGTGGAGAGGGGGCGGGGTATAAATAAAGTGTATTATTCTTCTGGGAAATGTAATTCTTCCACCACACACACCCCTCCCCCCCTCGCCCCGGTCTTGTTTGGGCCTAGCCAGCCGGAGTACGCCGCTCTTTCCCCGCAAGGTCACCCGGTCAACGCCCCGGCGCCGTGGCCTAGCCTACCGGAGCCTCCTTCTCCGTGGCTCGCCGCAGCCGACAAGAAGCGCCTCAGCCCGGCCTGTGGAGCCGGCGCCGCCACCTGCCGGGACAGTTTGCCAAGCGCCGAAGCCGCCGCTGCCATGCCCGCCATGTCCTCTTCCTTCTTCTCCTCAGGCTCCGCTCTCGCCCGGAACCGGAAATGCGACGGCGGCAAGCCGGCGCTGGCTAATTGCGTCACGGGGCCACCTTCTTACAGCACTCTAACACAGAGCTGTAACTATAGAATCACAAGGGGGCGGCGAATTCCGGGGTCGTTTTGTACTGCCCATAGACTTCGAACAGAGCTTCCCAGTTGTTTATTTATTGTTTTATATCCGAAATCTTACCGGTTCGAATGCGGGGAGCGGGGTGAGCTCCCGCTGTTAGGCCCAGCTTCTGCCAACCTAGCAGTTCGAAAACATGTAAGTGTGAGTAGATCAAAAAAGGTACCACTCCGACGGGAAGGTAACAGCACTCCATGCAGTCATGCCAGCCGCATGACCTTGGAGGTGTCTATGGACAACGCCGGCTCTTCGGCTTAGAAATGGAGAGCCCAACATGACTGGACTTAATGTCAGGGGAAACCTTTACCTTTATCTTACCCAGTTTACCGATAATGAGACTCTAAAGACAACCACAATTGATAAATAACTTGTCCATTTTAAACCCATGTCATTTTGTTAACAGTCATGTTAGGAGTTGTAATCCAAGCTGTACATGTAGAATGTATTGTCGAAGGCTTTCATGGCCGGAATCCATGGGTTGTTGTAGGTTTTTCCGGGCTATATGGCCATGTTCTGGAGGCAATTTTTCTCCTGACGTTTCGCCTGCGTCTATGGCAAGCATCCTCAGAGGTAGTGAGGTCTGTTGGAAGTAGGAAAATGGGTTTATATATCTGTAGAATGACCAGGGTAATATCAATTAATTAACACCAGAGTCAATACAACAGTACAGCAATATAACAATCCATCACGTCTCATCAATAGAATCAGCATCCGATCTCGTTGTCCATTATTCCATTCCAATAATCACTCAATTGTACTGCTTAGTTGAAAGCCTGTTCGAAAAGCCAGGTCTTCACACTCTTCCGGAATGCCAGTAAGGAGGGGGCCGATCTAATGTCTGTAGGAAGGGCGTTCCATTAGTCATGCTAAACTAAATTACAACATTACAACTAAAATATAGTAAAGGTAAAGGTTTTCCCTTGACATTAAGTCTAGTCGTATCCGACTCTGAGGGCTGGTGCTCATCTTCATTTCTAAACCAAAGAGCTGGCGTTGTCCGTAGATTCCTCCAAGGTCGTGTGGCCAGCATGACTGCATGGAGCGTCCTTACCTTCCCACAGAAGCGGTCCTTATTGATCTACTCACACTTGCATGTTTTCAAACTGCAAGGTTGGCAAAATCTGGGGCTAACAGCGGGAGCTCATCCTGCTTCCTGGCTTTGAACCGGCAACCTTTCAGTCAGCAAGTTCAGCAACTCAGCGGTTTAATCTGCTGTGCCACCGGGGGGGGGGGGGGTAACTTAAAATATACTCATATGCAATAATATATTGATATATTATTATATATTATCAATAGTAGGGACAGAGAGCTTCATCTATGCTGATGATCGTGCCATTACAGCTAAAGCAGGGAGCTTTGAGATGGTTGAACAGAAGCTCTCTGAAGCTCTAGGTGCTCTTACTGCCTATTACAGGGAAAACCAGCTGATCCCCAACCCATCCAAAACACAGAAATGTGCCTTTCACCTTAAGAACAGACAAGCATCCCGAGCTCTGAGGGTTACCTGGGAAGGAATCCCACTGGAGCATTGCAGCACACCCAAATACCTGGGAGTCACTCTGGACCGTTCTCTGACCTACAAGAATATCTGAATATCAAGCAAAAAGTGGGTGCTAGAAACAATATCATACGAAAGCTGACTGGCACAACCTGGGGATCACAACCAGATACAGTGAAGACATCTGCCCTTGCGCTATGCTACTCTGCTGCTGAGTATGCATGCCCAGTGTGGAACACATCTCACCATGTTAAAACAGTGGACGTGGCTCTGATGAGACGTGATGGATTAGTTATATGGATGTATTGTTGTTATATTGATGTATTGTTATATTGATGTAGTTGCCATGGTTACTGTTTTAAATGCTAATGTTGTGCACTTTGTATACTGATTTGGTTGTAAACCGCTCTGAGTCGCCTACGGGCTGAGAGAGAGCGGTATACAAATGAAGTAAGTAAATAAATAAATAAATAAGACATGGCGCATTATCACGGGGTGTCTGTGCCCTACACCACTGGAGAAATTACACTGTCTAGCCAGTATTGCACTACCTGACATCCGCCGGGAAGTAGCAGCCAATAGTGAAAGGACCAAGGCAGTGACATCTCCAGCCCATCCCTTGTTTGGGTATCAGCCAGCAAGCCAATGCCTTAAATCAAGAAATAGTTTTCTAAGATCTACAGAGACACTCGCTGGAACACCCCAGCAAGCGAGAGTCCAAAAGTGGCAGGCTCAAACCCAGAACCTCAATCAATGGCTGATACCAAATGAGGGACTCCCCCCTGGGCACACAGAAAACTGGGCGACTTGGAAGGCGCTGAACAGACTGCCCTCTGGCACCACAAGATGCAGAGCCAATCTTAAGAAATTGGGCTACAAAGTAGAATCCACGACATGCAAGTGTGGAAAAGAGCAAACCACTGACCACCTGCTGCAATGCAACCTGAGCCCTGCCACATGCACAATGGAGGACCTTCTTGCAGCAACACCAGAGGCACTCCAAGTGGCCAGCTACTGGTCAAAGGACATTTAATCATCTACCAAGCTTGCAAATTCTGTGTTTTGTCTGTCTGTCTGTTTGTTTGTTTTTGTTAAAAATGTAATAGAAATGTCTGGTTGTTGATGACACGATAAATAAAATAAATAAATCAGTAGTATTATAATTAATATATTGTTGTTTATTTGTTCAGTCGCTTCTGCCTCTTCATGACCTCATGGACCAGCCCTCGCCAGTATTATTATATTACATTATTATTATTATTATATATTGTAATATTATGAGTGCTATATTGTATTAAATTATAATATTAAATATTATTATATATAATATATATTATTATATTGTATTATTAGTATTCTATTGTGTTACATTATAATATTATAATAATATAATTAATACTGGAGCCCCCGGAAGTACAATTGGTTAAACTCTTGTGCTGACAGGGAGAGGGAGTTGAGCTCCCTCTGTCAGGTCCAGCTCCCCATGGGGAGATGTGAGAGAAGCCTTCCACAAGGATGGTAAAACATCAAACATCCGGGCATCCTCTGGGCAACGTCCTTGCAGACGGTCAATTCTCTCACACCAGAAGTGACTAGGTTGGCAGAAGCTGGGGCTGACAGCAGAAGCTCACACTGCTTCCCAGATTTGAACCTGTGACCTTTCGGTCAACAAGCTCAGCAGCTCAGCGGTTTAACCCACTGCACCACAATATTATATTATTAGCACAGTACAATATTATTATATAGTATTATTATACATTGTATTACATTATAATATGACTATCAATATTATATGTTCAGTATATATAATATATTAGCATAGTACAATATTAGTATAGGCCCCCCTGGTGGCACAGAGGGTTAAACCGCTGATTTGCTGAACTTGATGATGGAAAGGTTGACGGTTCAAATTCGGGGTGTGGGATGAGATCCCACTGTTAGGCCCAGCTTCTGCCAACCTAGCAGTTCGAAAACATGCAAATGTGAGTAGATCAATAGGTACTGCTCCGGTGGGAAGGTAACGGTGCTCCATGCAGTCATGTTGGCCACGTGACCTTGGAGGTGTCTATGGATAATGCCAGTTCTTCGGTTTAGAAATGGAGATGAGCACCAACCCCCAAATTCGGACACAACTAGACTTAATGTCAGGAGAAACCTTTACCTTTACTAATATATAATTAGTATTATATATTATTATATTGTACTATACAATTATCATGCCATATCATTAGTAATATTATATGCAATATATAATATACAGTTCAGAGCAACTCCCCCCCTCCTGACCTTCAGGAAGAAAGTAAAAACGTGGTTATGGGACCAAGCTTTTGGCTAGCAACTTAGTGCAATACGAGAATATGGAATAGTGAAATGACTAAAGGAATGGCCTTGCATTTGATTTTAAATGACGTGATTTTAATAACTGGTTTTAATGTATATGTGTTTGTTTTACTGTATGTATGTTATGGCATCAAATTATTGCCTTTTTTGTAAGGCTGCTCTGAGTCCCCTTCGGGATAAGTAAATAAATAAAATTATTATATTATTATATTGTACGATAGTATTATACCACAATATATATCACACACTATCAGTATATTATACTATAAATATTATATAATATATTGTTCAAACCTTTCCAACCTTGTTCTTTCAGCTTCTTGGACTTCAACCCCCAGATGCCACAGCAAGGGATTCTGGGAGCTGAAGCCCAAGGTTTGGCGACACTGTCTGAGAATGTGCCTCTCAAAATGTGTACGCCCTTTAATGCTGGCTATTTTATTTTAATGACTATTTGAAGGCACTGCTGGAAGAAGTCAGATCAGCTCCCACCCTGATGTCATTCAGAAAAGGTGCGAAGACTTTCCTGTTTGAAATTTATTTTAACAAAGCACTTTATGGTCAAATTTTAAACTGATTTTAGCTTTATTGTTTATAATATGGATGATGTTATGGAGCATTCGTGGAACTTTTATCATTTGCTTTTATGTTACAATGCATATTTTAAGATGATGTGAGCTGCCTTGAGTCTACCTGGAGAAAGGCAGCATAGAAATCTCCTAAATAAACAAACAAACAAATATTGTCATATTATGACTATTTGGAGACTGTGCACCTATAGTGTGGAACAAATGCATTTTGATGCCACTTTAAAAGCCATGGCTCAATCCTATGGAATCCTGGGAGATATCATTTGGCAAAGTGGGGCCTTCTCGACTAAAGAATGCTGGTGCCTCCCCAAACTGCAAATCCCAGGATTCCATAACCTTGAGTCATAACCGTTGAAGAGTGGTCAAGCTGCACTCATTCTTCTTTATAGGTGTACTCTTTGCTTCAGAGTCTGGTGGAAGCTTTTTCCTTGGAAGCTTTTAAACAGAGGCTGGAGGGCCAACTGTCAGGGGTACTTTTATTGTGCTTTTCCTGCAAGGCAGAAGGGGGTTGGACTAAATGGCCCATGTGGTCTCATCCAACTTTATTCTTCTACTAGCCGTCCCCTGCCATGCGTTGCTGTGGCCCAGTCTGGTGATCTGGAAAATAAAGTAATGAGAAAGTGTTGGTTTCTAATATATGTAATTTTTTTATGCTTGTAGGCAAACAGTGTTTCTTCTTGTTTCTTTGTCAGTGTTGATGTGGAGATTGTCTGGTTTGCCTATTCTGGAACATGCAACATATTGTCCTTTAGGGGTCCCTTTCAAATCTATGATACTGCATCTGCTATATACATATGTGTGTGTGTGTGAATGGCTGGATGGCCCTTTGTCAGGAGGGCTTTGATTGTGTTTTCTTGCCCTGGTGAAGGGAGTTGGACTGGATGGCCTTAAGGCAGCATTTGTCAACCTGGGAATCGGGACCCCTGCGGAAGTCATAAAGGGGTGTCAGAGGGTCACCAAAACGATCATAAAACACAGTATTTTCTGTTGGTCATGGGGATTCTGTGTGGAAAGTTTGGTTCAATTCTATCGGTGGGGTTCAGAATGCTTTTTGATTGTAGGTGAACTATAAATCCCAGCAACTACAACTCCCAAATGTCAATGTCTATTTCCCCCAAACTCCATCTGTGTTCATATTTGGGCATATGGAGTATTCATGCCAAGTTTGGTCCAGATCCATCATTGTTTGAGTCCACAGTGCTCTCTGGGTGCAGGTAAACTACAACTCCAAAACTCAAGGTCAATGCCCACCAAACCCTTCTACTGTTTTCTGTTGGTCTTGAAAGTCCTGTGTGCCAAGTTTGGTTCAATTCCATCGTTAGTGGAGAATGCTGTTTGATTGTAGGTGAACTATAAATCCCAGCAACTACAACTCCCAAATGACAATTTTTTTGAGTGATGGTCACTCATTGAGTTGTTAGGCATATTCTGTCCAAATTTGGTGTCAATTTGTCCAGTGGTTTTTGAGTTATGTTAATCCCACAAACAAATATTACATTTTTATTTATATAAACTAGCCATCCCCTGCCAGGCATTGCTGCGGCCCAGTCTGGTGATCTGGAAAATAAAGTAATGCGAAAGTGTTGGTTTCTAATATATGTCATTTCTTTATGCTTGTGGGCAAACAGTATTTCTTGTTGTTACTTTTTCAGTGTTGATGTAGAGATTGTCTGGTTTGCCTACTCTGGAACATGCAACATATTGTAGTCTTTCTTTAGGGATCCTTTCAAATCTATGATATTATATATGGCATATACATATCTGCATGTGTGTGTGAATCATATCTATCTACCTTTATCTATGGCTGGATGGCTCTTTGTCAGGAGGTTTTTGATTATGTTTACTTGCCTTGGTGAAGGAGTTGGACTGGATGGCCTTGAGGCAGCATTTCTCAACCTGGGGGTTGGGACACCTGGGGAGGGGGTCGCAAGGGGGTGTCAGAAGGCTTGCCAAAGACCACCAGAAAATACAGTATTTTCTGTTGGTCGTGGGGGTTCTGTGTGGGAGGTTTGGCCCAATTGTATCATTGGTGGGGTTCAGAATGCTCTTTCATTGATGGTGAACTATAAATCCCAGCAACTGCAACTCCCAAATGTCAAGGTCTATTTCCCTCAAACTCCACCAGTGTTCACATTTGGGCATATGGAGTATTCGTGCCAAGTTTGGTCCAGATCCATCATTGTTTGGGTTCACAGTGCTCTCTGGATGTAGGTGAACTACAACTCCCAATCTCAAGATCAATGCCTGCCAAACCCTCCCAGAATTTTCTGTTGGTAGTGGGAGTCCTATGTGCCAAGTTTGGTTCAATTCCATTGTTGTTGGGGTTCAGAATGGTCTTTGATTGTAGGTGAATCGTAAATCCCAGCAAATATGAATCCCAAATTGCTAAATCCATTTTTTGAGTGATGGTCACTCACTGGGTTGTTAGGCATATACTGTCCAAATTTGGTGTCAATTCGTCCAGTAGTTTTTGAGTTATGTTAATCCCACAAACGAACATTCCATTTTTATTTATATAGATGATTCCATACCCTGAGCGAATGAATGCGACTTGCTCAAGGTCACCATTTGGAGCCTGTGATCCAACAGCTACAATGTCAAAGCTTCTTAAATAATGTCTGGGGAAACCTTCCTATATAAAACCCAGAAGAAGAAGAAACCTGTGGAACTGGCACTTCTTGGAAGGACACAATTTGGACAACAGAGCAGCTGAAACCTATTGGCCAAGGGGTTCTGTTGAAAAAGGAGGTGGAGTGGCACTTCAAATCATTATCACCTTCAGACTGGAATGAAGACATAAAAGTGGGGGGAGGGGGGAGATCAAATTCCAAAATCTAGACAATGGGCACGCATTTCTCAGGCCTTCCTAGACTAGATTCAGTGATAAAAGCATGGCTCCAATCTGTTGCAGTACCTGAAGGTGCAATGAGATGGCAGGCTGGGTATTTGGTCTCCAAAGCAGAACTGCGTTTCAGGTGATATGCCTGGCCTACTCAAAGCCATGTCCTTTGCAGGGTAACATGGAAGAGTCTCGAGGGATAATTCTCTTATTTTGTAAAGGTTTAGATTTTAAACTGATGATTCTACAGTATCGAGCCATGTAGTTTAACACCAACTGGTGTTAAACTGCATTTCTTTATCAGTATAGATGCACCCTGAGTCATTGCTGATGTATGGCAATCCTGATGCAAATGTAACCCAGATTTAATTGAGGGGAGGCTGAGAGAGTGTGACTTGCCCAAGGTCCCTTGGTTCATCATTTGTGACAGTGGTCAGGGTAACAAACCTCACTAGCAGGCATGTAGCCATGGTGGTTCGCGAAAAGGCCTTACTGGTGCATTATTTAAACTGTTATGTTTATTCATATCATGATCTGATCACCATACTCAATATATCCCATATGCATGGAGGTATTGGGGTAATGATACAAAAGGTTTGCTAGGGTAGACCCTCTTTCACTCAGACTCAGCCCCCCCGAAACTCAGCCCCCCCCGAACCCCCTGAAAAAATGCCCCCCCCCCCCCCGAAACGAAATCCTGGCTACGGGCCTGCTCACTAGAATACTGACAGAAGTATACTGTATTTGGAACCCTGTATTGACTCTCTCTCTCTCTCTCTCTCTCTCTCTCTCTCTCTCTATATATATATATATATATATATATACACATATATACATATACATATACATACATACATACACTAGCTGTCCCCTGCCACACATTGCTTTGGCCTAGTCTGGTGATCTGGGAAATAAAGTAATGAGAAAGTCTTGGTTTCTAATATATGTAATTTCTTTATGTTTGTAGGCAAACAGTATTTCTTGCTGTTTCTTTGTCAGTGTTGATGTGGAGATTGTCTGGTTTGCCTACTCTGGAACATGCACCACATAATTGTCCTTCTTTAGGAGTCTCCGTATAAGACGACCCCAACTTTTCCAGTTAAAATATAGAGTTTGGGATATACTCGCCATATAAGACTACCCCTCTTCCAACACACCAAATAAATTAAAAAGCATCAGATTTGATTTCAATATGGTAATTTTCCTATTACTGTACCTCCTTCTCTGCCTCTCAGATCTCGCACATGTGCACCTGCACCACTTCACTGCAGTCTTCAGGAGCGAGATCTGAGAGGCAGAGGAGGAGGTCAGACAGGTAAAAGAGGTGTGTTTGTCTGGGCCCAGACCCACTCTATCTCTTTTATCCATACCCCTGGTGCCCCGGACGCCTTCAGCTTGCTCCACCCTTCACTTACAACTTATTTATTTATATTTATTTATTTCGGTTTCTTCTACCCCGCCCTTCTCACCCCAAAGGGGACTCAGGGCGGCTTATAAAGGCACAATTCGATGCCAGCATCACATAACAGTAGTAAAACAAAATAACATCAATTAACAGTTACACAGTTGCATTACAACAATAAAACCAATAAAACCAATACAAACCCAATTACTCCTCATTGACGGTCAGCTTTCGCTATCTCATAGTCCAAATTCCAATTCCACATTGTCAGTCCTGTCAGTCCTAGTTCGTTTGATTGTCCTTATCTAGTTGTCAGATTGCCCAAAGGCCTGGTCCCACAACCACGTCTTTACTTTCCTCCTGAAGGAGAGGAGGGATGTTGATGCCCTAATTTCTCCCGGGAGTGAGTTCCACAGGTGAGGGGCCACCACTGAGAAGGCCCTGCTCCTCGTCCCCACCAACCTCACCAGCCTCACTTGTGACAGTGGTGGGGTCGATAGCAGGGCCTCCCCAGATGATCTCAGACTCCGGGGTGGGACGTAGAGGGAGATACGTTCGGACAGATACACTGGACCGGAACCGTACAGGGTTTTGTAGGTCAAAACCAGCACCTTGAATTGTGCTTGGAACTGAACCGGCAGCCAGTGGAGCTGACACAGCAGGGGGGTGGTGTGCTCCCTGTATGACGCTCCGGTGAGCAATCTGGCTGCCGCTCGCTGGACCAGTTGAAGTTTCCGAACAGTCTTCAAGGGCAACCCCACGTAGAGTGCGTTGCAGTAGTCTATTCGGAATGTAAGTGTGGACCACTGTGGCCAGATCAGACTTCCCAAGGTACGGGAGCAACTGGTGCACAAGTTTTAATTACAACTTCCTGGTGAGGTACCCCTTCACCTCACCACGCATTAAGTCCAGGAATCCTGATGAATGGATTTTTTTCTACTGTACTTGTGCAGCATTGCCCTTAATGCTTTCATACAGTTGCTGCATATGGCAGGGACACGGCCATTGCCATTTTTGAGCTCCCCCCACTATATGCGGCAACCACAGATTCTCCAATCTGGATTGGAAGTTTCAGCACCCGCTCTATAAAACTACTCTCGTGCATAAGACTACGCCCATGTGTAAGACTACTCCCATGTGTAAGACTACTCCCGTGCATAAGACTACTCCTGCGTATAAGACTACTCCCATGTATAAGGCTACACCCGTGTATAAGACGACCCCTGACTTTTGAGAAGATTTTCTTGGGTTAAAAAGTAATCTTACACACCAGAATATACGGTAATTGTCCTTCTTTCAAGGTCACTTTCAAATCTATGATACTATATCTGTGTGTGTGTGTGAATCATATATATC